GGTGAGTCTACACTTGTAGCATGCTAAAAAAACTATGACCCCCCCCCCCCCACTTCCCCTCCTTCTGATGAAAACTAAAGTTGGAACCAGGAGTTCCTATTTGCACCTGCTCTGATGGGCAGCTGTAATGGGTGTGGAGAGCAAAAAGGGCAAGCTACCTCTTATTTTCTTTGGACATGAGCATTATCAGCAGAGTCCTGGCAAAAACAGGTTGTCAAGGACTTAAAGCAGAAACCATCTTCAAACCCATGAGACTGGTTTTAGGGAAAATAGTGAGAGACAATGGAGCCATCCCAGACTAGCAATAGTTAGAAGCCATCATCACCAAGACTAGCGGGGTAAGCAAAGGGATACCAAACCGCAGGAAGATCTGAAACTGTATCTGGAGGACAGAGAAGACAACTGAATAGTTGTGACTTGTTCACAAAACAACTCTGGCAGCAACAAAAATCCAGCAAGAAAAAAAACAGGCTCCTCCAGGTCTCCTGCTAACGTGCCATTGGCCAAAGCCAACCAAAGAGGGTGAGGGGCAGGGAGGGGGTGTTTTCAATTATGTAAACTGATGTCACTCTTCAGAGCATAAAGTCAGAGAAAAGTTGTGGAGGAGCAAAGGGGGAATGTGCTGCAAAGAAAGGTATTCCAAATGACACAGCAAAACAGCACATGGAAACATTCTGCCAGGGCCAGGGATACAGCGCAATTATAGAGAACTTGCATTGCCAAGTGTGAAGCCCTGAGTTCCCCTTTAAAGGGGGGGAAAAAGGTATTTCCAGTTCTATCTAAATCTTCTAGACAAATACTGCATACAAAAGCATGTCATAAACTGGGGTTGGGGCAATAGCAAAGCAGGGAGGGCATCTGCCTTGCATGTGGCTGACCCAGCATCCCATATGGTCCCCTGTGCAGAGCCAGGAGTAACTCCTGTGCATCACCAGGTGTGGCCCAAAAAGCAAAAAAAAAAAAAAAAGTCATAAACAGCAGACAGAGAGAGATATAGTATGGTAGGTAGAGCCCTAAGGGCAAGGCCAGAACTAAGTGTGACCCCGCCCCCTACCAAAGAGAAAGCAAAAAACGTCCTAAGCATAGGTACCCCTTTGGGTTCCTATTGCCCTATTACTAAGGTGAGCGGGAACAAAGACGATTCTAAAAGAAATTCCAAGTAATCTTTGACATTTCTGCATCTCCAAGAGTAACAACAAACTAAACCATTTATTTACATTGAATCAGATATAAGACAGCTCCCTCTCTGAACTCAAAGGGCACCTATACCACACCTCCATTATTACAGTTATCATGAACTTTACAACTATTGAGAGTAACCCCTGGGGACGAGAGAAATAGTACAGTAGGTAAGGCGCTTGCCTTACACATGGTCAACCAGGGTTCAATTCCTGGCATCCCATGTTGTCCTCTGAGCCCAGGAGCAGTGATCCCTGAGCACAGAGCGAGGAGTAACCCGTGAGCACTGCAGGATGTGGCCACCTTGCACCCCCTTATGCCCCCTCAAAAAAAGTATAACCTCTGGTTTGTCTTGCCTTCATTAGATTCGTAGTACCTTTAAGGCACAGATTGTCTTATACATATACGTACCTTAGTATCTAATATGAACCTAGTAGAGTTAAAATCAGGTGCACTAATAAATTAGTGAATTTAGTGTGCATTAATGGACAATCTAACGCCACAGTGAAATGTCATGGTAAAACCTGGGAAAATCGTCAACAATTTAACACTAAAATGTGATACCTAGGTCATGTTCGGCAAAATCAGAACCTTTAGTAACAGTCTACTTTATTCTCTATTCAGATATCTTTCTTACATGTACTGAGATTGCTTAATGCCTCTTCAATCAAGAGACCTCACAGTCAAAAGAACCAGAGAGGCTGGGCACAGTGTTCAAAATAAAGCCCATACTTCTTATATACAAGGCCCTAGGTTCTGTTACCAGCAACACACACACACACACACACACACACACACACACACACACACGCCAGAAAAAGATGGTAAGTCTCCATTTAAGAAAAAAACACATCATCTCCTCTTTTCCAAGGGTTTACCAAGTCCAGTGAAGAAACTAGTAATTTTTATATATTACATAGAAAAATGAATGTTTCCAGAGATAGAGCGCATGCACAGGTGCACGCTCCCACATACCTCAAAAGAAATCATCCTTTGGAAAATTATAAACTTAGCCATGCAACACAATCATATAACATCATCACATTAAAATGGATATACACTATAATGCTGGGGTGGTCATTAACAGAACCTGGATCAGAGTCACATTATAATTATGAATCACTTTCACACAACCCTGTATTTATGAAGTGCTTAATCATCTTTTTGTTAGAACAGTTGATTCTTGTAGATTTCCCACAGAAAAAGAAAAAAGTTAATGCAAGTTGATAACCCTCACTGAGCTGTTATGGTTTTAGGCTGCCAACGCCCTGCTGTAGGTAGGGTAAATAAAATCTAAATTTACAAAGACTCATATTAACAAGAAAGTATGTTTGATATATATTAGATATAAATAAATATACTGTCGTACAAAACTCAAGATGAAAAATTCTTACATCTCTAGCAGCATGTTCTCCTTAACTGCTGTTTGTAACTGGGAGATGTTATTAAATCTAATGTCATCTTATATACCAAATTTTAATTGAGCACTTCACTTTCTATTTAAAAAAAAAGAAATCTTGGGTTTACCAATTACTTTCAAAGAAACAAAAGCACAAACATGTTTCCAAAAATTCACATTTCTTTTAATAATATATTTAATATCTATGTTCCCCTGAATGATCGGTTTGAGGCTCTGCATGTTCCTAGAATGAACAGATGCCATTGGGCTACGCTAGGACGCAACAGGGATAAATGGAGACGTTACTGGCACCCGCTCGAGTAATTCGACAAATAACGGGGGATCAAGTGATCAAGTGATGTTCCCCAAACAAGCTTCTCCCACAAACATCAAAGACATTTAAAATTACAAACACAATATTATATTTTTGAGAATGATCACCAATTCTACAACTTTCAGGTCACAATGCAGCACTGAAATTACTCAGTACTTAGTACACACTAGAGTGATGTCTGGTCTAAAGGAAAAAAAGCATGCTTTTTGTTTTGTTCTGTGCTTTTATTAAATTAACTACTACAAGGTAGGAGGAGATATGTCATACTGACTACTCAATATATGAAAATAACAGGTTAATATCCAATATAATAGAATTATCAAATGTCCTTATGATACACTATTTTTCCTTCTCTACACTAAATTAAACAAGTCCTGCTAAAACTGAGTATTACACTAAAACACTGCTTAATAAATACGATCAAATGTCAACTTTTCATTATAAATATATTTTAATGGAATTACTATATGTCTTACAACTGAAGTGTGTTTCTGTGAAAGCTGTTTCCCTTTTCCTAAATTTTACACCTAAAGTTCACTGGGGAGCTATGCAGGAAATTTCTGGATCAACAGTAATATTTCTGGGCTGGATAGAGAGATAGTACAGCGGGAGATAGGACCTGGGTTCGATCTCCAGCACCACATTGTGCCCCAAGAATCTCGCGGGGTGCAGCCCTGGAAGTCGCCCAATCCAGCACCACCGCGGTGGTCCAGGTGAGGCCCTGGCATCACTGACCTGGTTGGCCAAGAATCTCAGCCCAGCCCCTGGTGCTCCTGAGCACCGCTTGGGAGTCCTCCCCTCTACCCCCAATAAGGAGGGAAATTTTTAGTCAGCAAAAAGGCAGAGAGAGAGAGAGAGAGAGAGAGAGAGAGAGAGAGAGAGAGAGAGAGAGAGAGAAGAGAGAACACAACTTATAAGAAAACACGACCGCAAGGGTAGTTGAATGTTTAGTTGATCCTATTTAGGACAGGGAAGGGGTCGGTGGGGTGGGGGAGACGGGGAGGGGCTTTCTAGTGTCTAGAGAGGTCCTTCTGCAGCCTTGCATTGTTGATGCTAAAAGCACACACCTGCAACCCTAGAACTGGCTATGACTAATACCAGGACGCCTCCACCCCACTACTCAGGTCCTCATCTTGCTCATTTATGGTTTGTTTTTCTGAGCAAGCGAAGAGCTCGCAACACGATGCGGTTCACAGCAAAAGGGTGGTGGTGGGGGGGGGGGGAGTGAACGCTCCTCTTGCCCTCGCCTTATCGGACTCTGGCTTCTAGAGGCTGCAGCCAGCCCAGACCTGAGCTCTTCCAGCTGGACTCCGGGCCGGCTCGCTGCAGCCCGGGAACGCCCGGTGCTGCTCACGGGCTCGGTCTACCCGAGGCTGAAAATGGGAACGATGGAAAGCTACCCCGGGGCACGGACAGGGCAAGTCTGGAGCGCGGGCGCTCGCCCCCCCCCCCCCCCCCCCCCCCGCCCCAAGACACGCCAGCCGCTGCAGACCTGCAGGCAGAAACCTGGCACCCTCGCACCTACTAGCAACCTGACAATTTGCAACCTCGGAACGCCTGCTAATTAGGAGTGCTCTAGCCTTTTATAGATGGAAAACTACGCTGCGTTCCCGCGGGTCAGAGAAGGCCGCAGGCCCCGGTGTGGGGGGACGCGGGAGGGACGGGGGCGCGGAGAATCCCGCCCCGGGATGGGGGTTCGCCCCGGGGCGGCGGCGGCGGCGGCGGCGGCCACCGCAACGGGTCTGGGTAGAAGAACAGGGGAAACAGAGACAGACGGCAGCCAGGGGGCAGAGCGCAGAGGCGGCGCGAGCAGCGTCCAAGCAGGGCTGGGCTCCGCAGGGCCCCGGCGGGCGACAGGCAGCAGCGCGGCGGTCACGCAGGAGCCGGGGTGCAGGCTGCGAAGCGGGGTCCCCTCCCGCCCCGTGCTGCAAAAGCCGGCGCCCCTCGCGTCTCCCGCAGCCCAGACGTGCACGTCTCCCCCGCCCTGCTCCCCCCCACACACACACATGCACAGACACGCACGCACACACGCCCCCTTGCAGAGAGCCGCCCGCCAGCGCTGCCCACCCCGGGCTCGCGCGCACGTACCCAGCAACACGCAGACCACATCCAGGGCCACGTACGGCAGCCGCGTCTTGTCGAACATGGTCTCGGTCCGGACGGCGGGCGGGGGCCACCTGGTCCCGAAACCCGGCCGGGGGCACTGGCGGAGGCTCCGCGTCGGGGCTCCTCCCTGCCGAGGGGGGAGGGGGCGGTCTCTGGCCGGACAGACGCCGGCGGTCGGCAACGGCGCCCGACCCCCGCTCCAGCAGCTCCCGCCACCCGCTCGGACGGGGCCCGGACCCTGGCGCGCCCGCCGCGGCTGCTCGGTGGCCTCCGGCCTGCCTCGGTCGCTCGCCGGCTCCCGGCCCGGCCCCGCCGTCGCTCGCTGCCCGCGGCGCAGAGTCCCGCTCCCAGCAGGCGGGGCGTCGGGCCGGCGCTTTAAGGACGGGGGGATCCGTTGGAGGAGGAACGCGGGCTCGCCCCTCCCGCCGGCAGCGCCGCGCCGGCCTGTGCCGGGCCTCGCGGGGAGGGCGCGCGGCCGCCGCGGGGAACCCCCGACCCCGCGCGGCGGCCAATGGGCGCGCGGGCCCCGCCCCTCCCCGAGCGGGACGCGCGCTCGCGGGGCGGGGCGTGGGGGCGCCTCCCCGCGTGCGGCCGGGGCCGTCGCTCGCACCCGCCGGCTCCCCGGGGGTCGTCGGACCGGCCGGGCCTCGGGGTTGCGGGCCTCCGGGCCGGGCCGCGGCTGCTGGCTTGTCGCGGCGGGAGAGGTAGGCGCCCCCGCTTCTCCCGCCCACCCCGCACCCGCATCCGAGAGGGCTTGCCTGCCACCCCCCACTCCCTAGGGACCGGGTCCTACCCGGGGGTGCCGGGCCGGCGGCGAGCAGGACTCTGCCTCCCTGCCTGGCCGGTGTGTTTAGGCTCTTCCGGAACCTTCTGCGCCGTCTGGGCCTCCACCTAGGCGAGCAGGTCGGCCTGACCGACCCCAGACTGGGCAAGGATCCCGCTAAGTCATCACCCATCCGTGGAGACCCGAGTGACTTTCATCCCCTCGTTTTGATCTATCAACCCTAGGCCTGAGTCACCCCACCGTGGACTTTTCCTCTTAGCTAATTTTCCACCCATGACCGCCCCCTCTCCCCACCCCTACAGGGAGAGAGTGCGTGAGAGTGTGTGCGCGCGCGCGTGCAGACTTGAGTGCAACTTTTTTTCCTCTTTGCAATCACCTTCAATAAAGTCTTCGTTATTGTAAGTGCCAGGATGATTTTTCTTTAACAACAGTGAGCAATCCTCTGCCGCCTGGGCGGACTCTAGCGAAGATTTCGCAATTGTGGCTTTCTAACGCCTAAAACTGGGGTGGGGGGGGATGAGCCGAGAGTCATCGCTTCCCGGTGTTCTAAACGGTGAAAGCTAGGAAGAACACATCAAAGTGCTTCCTACGAGATTAAGCGGCCTGCAGATGTTACTGATTATATCTTTTCTCCCCCCCCCCCCCTTCCTCCCTGAGCCTCCTTCCACTGAGCTGTAAAATGCAAATGGAAAACTTCTCACATTTCCTGTGAAACACTTGGAAACCAATGGAGCGATAACATTACCCTCGGGGAGTCTGAAGTTACAGCCCCAGTGATCCCACAGGAGCAAAACTTGTGTTTGAAGAAGCATGGTTTTCATTAAAAGGAATGTGAAATTTAGATTTCACCTCTTATTTGCGTATCTTAAAGGATTAAACAATCTATACCCAGGAGAGATGCAGCATTGCTGATTCCATGGCTTAACCTTATTCCCAGAGTTACAGGGACCCTCAGATTCCAAGGCCACAGTAAATTGAAATGACTTGTGGTGTCTTAGCAGTAGGTATACATTCAAAAGCTTCCACATTCATTTTTTGACCGCATGCCAGGTGTGATCTAGGGAGTTTTCATAAAACTGCTCTTGAAATAAACATTTTCTCCCCCAAAAGCCTTTTTCAAAAGTAAGCTTTAAAAAAATCACCTTCCTGATCAGTGAATTTCTTCACAGTATAGTCCATTCTTGTATTATATGCCAACATCCAGTGCACAGCACAGCTGTGGCGAGATGAAGACACAGAAAAATCTCTGTCCTTCAGGACCTGGAGGCCAAGTTAGGCAGTATTAGCTGGTAGCTAAATGAATATTGGAAGAGAATTTTGTTGGTGTGCAAAACACAAGGAGCAATTGGGGGGGAGGGGGGTGCCTCCTAGAAACTCTGAAACCTTCCAGAGGGAGGTGATACCTTTCATTGTTCTTTCCTATCCCCTTTCCACACCAACAGAGATTTTCTTAGGTGAGGAGGAAGTAAAGGAAACATTTTTTTTTGCCCTTGATGGACTTACAGATGATAGCTTTTAAAATAAATTAACAAAGGGCATTAAAAAGTATTAAGTCAAAAAAAATTAAGAAAACAAGTATGAAGTCATTTCCTGTTATTTTAAATAGAGTATGTGCCGTGTATGGATTATAAGCAATGAAGTCTTCAATTGAAAGAATGACTAAGAAATATCCTTCTGTTTTACCATAGGGGATTGTTTCTAAGGCTTTGTTTTATTGTGGCCTCTTGTGAGGTTGAGCTTCTAGTGTGATTACTGGAATTTAAAGTGAATTAAATAACCTTAAAATTGAGAACATAATAAAGGATGTTTTAGTGGGTGAGCAAGAGGTGAAGGCACTTGCCTTGCCTGTGTCCAACCCAGAATCCATCCCACACACCCAAATAGCCATGTCCAGTAAGTGATCCAAAACTCAAAACAGAAAACAAAAGGAAACGGGGAATAATAACACTTTTAGCACCCCCTATGGGTGGGTTCTGGTGTGTCTGAGAACTAGCCATGAAACCTCAGGTTTTTCTCAAATGATTAACTAAATTTGTCCTTGACCTTATGTCTTTCAGGGTTTGTATGCAACATAGACGTCAAACAAAAACAGAATAGACCTGGAAAGAATTGCTCTCAAGATTCTTGTAGGAAGAGAGAAACTAATTTCCTCCTTTCAGCAGTTTTATCACTGTCTTGAAAAGGAAAGTATACTTTCCTTCCTTCATTTCCTCTTTATCTTAACTATTTTTATAATCTCACTTTTGTCCCACTGCTCCACGACTCTGTTCTTTAACTTAGTATTATTGTGAAGTATCTCACGCTATTCTAACAGGGCTTCTTATCTCCAAAGTACAGAAGAAGAAATTCCCTTTAAGTATTTGTATGTGCTTGTGTTTTTTCTCCCTACCTGCACTGAAGCAAATACAGTTTTTATTATACTCAAATGGTATTGTAAACTTAAAATAATTAAAACATCTAAACCAATAAAAATGTGTCTATATCCTCAGTACATATGCCTTACTGAAAAATATTATTTTTATACTTATTGTCAAATCTATTGTTTCTGAACCAGGGAGAGAGAGTTCAAACTGAGAGTGTGCTTTGGAAGTGCGTTTTTGCATTCGGAAAGTCCAGGTTCAACCCCCAGCACTACATGGCCTGCTGGACACCAGCAAGAGTAACCCCTAAACCCCACTGTGTGTAGCTCCAAGGTTTTTCAACAATTTGTTTTCTTCCCTTATTAAATGAGATATGAAATATTTTATACTGATGTTTATATAGTTATGAGTCAGATGGGGACTAGAAAGAGAGTACAACAAGTAAGGTACTTGCCTTGCACACAGCTGACCCAGGTTTTCCCTAGCATCCCATGTGGTCCCCTGAGCACCGCCAGGAGTGATTCCTGAGTGCAGAGCCAGGAGTAACCCCTGAATATCATCGGGTGTGGCCCAAACACTGAACAAACAAGAAAAAGTTATGAGTCAGGATATTACCATGAGCAACTATGATTACACTGCTCAACACCCAAAACAGTGAGATTGGGGTATCATTGAATTCACATGTTGTTTTATTCATTTATATTTTGTGCCTCAGGAAAGGTAGCACTATATTCATATATATGTGTACATGTATTAGCATTTTCATTTACTAGCTTTAAAAAGCATTGTTTCCTGCCCTTGGTTTTTTTTTTTTTTTTCAGATTAATCGTGTTGTTGCAGTGATTGTAGATCAGTCATGTGAGCATATCATTTTAACCATGAGCCACTGGGTTATTTTTGTTACTATAAAGAATGCTGTTAATATTTATGTACAAGTCTCAGGAAACGGGGTGGGACTGCTGGCTGTGGGACTGCTGCATCACGGGTCACACCCACGTCCAACTTCACCAAATAATCCCGTGTTCTATTTCTAAATAGCAAGACCAGTTCACCCCACCCACCAGCAGCAGTGGGTATGAGTCCATACCTGTTTCTGAGATTTCTTTATTTTTGCTCATTGAGTGGGTATGAGAAAAGTTGACATCACTGGAGCCATTTTATTTATTTTGTTTATTTGGGGGACCACATCATGCAATGTTCAGGCCCGAAAACCAGCACAGTTCACTCTCTGGAGGTGCTCAGTGACCAGGGGTGATGAGGATTGAACCCAGGGCTCATGTATTCAAAGTCTTCATTCCGGCCCTTTGAGCTCCCTCCCAGGCCTTATTTTCCCTCCCTGGAGCTCACAGGGAGTGAGTGGGGCTGCCAGGATTGCCTGGCCATATGCTAAGGGTCAAAGTGTGTATATGTGTTTGGGGTCTGGGGGACAGGCACTGATGAACTCTTGGCCTGGTACTCGTCTAGGCCCTTTAAGCCACTGAGCTGAGCCCCTGTTGGAGCTACTTTAATACAGGGCATATCCATCAATGCTTGGGAAGCCACAGCAAAACAGCTGTGTGTCTTCTTTAAACTGAATCCACCAGCATTCCAGTAATTTGGCATGAATAAAAATATCCAGTTTGGAAGAACTGAAAAAGTGAACTTTTACCGGCTTGTGATATTGTACTTTGTAACCTCTTCATCTGCCCATTACCTTATCCTGATTCCTTACATTTTTTCTCTGTGAGAATCCTCAATCTCTGTACTTCCTTGAGACCTATTTTGGGTATCTGGCTAAAAATCTGTACCCTCAATGACAATTCATTGCTCATAAATAAATAGACTATCCTTAAATTGTTTTTGCAGCCTCCTGAATGTTTGGATTAATAGATACTATGAGTATTTCAGTGCAGCCTCACTGTTTTTCCTGATCTCTAATGTTTGGCATTTTTTCCTAAATTTCTTTACCAAAGATGAATTCTGTGTCAATTGCCTAGTCACATTTTTTGCCTCTGCTAGGTGATCAATCTTATTTTTATCCATGTTTTAATATTACTTTTATAAATTTCCCAATTTTCACTTCCTTTAGGAAGGGCTATGTGACACGAGTTCTGTAAGCGTAAAAGCGGAAGCACACTCGCAATCGAAAAATTTTGTGAAAATTTTTGGTTTCCTAATCAAAGGAAAAAACTGACTTACTGGATTTCCTTCCCTTTCTACTTTCCTTGAATATGGACATGATGTTTAGAGCTACAGCGGCCACTTTGTAAGTAGTGTCCATGGTCTTTATAATGTTGAACTGCTAAAACTCCAGCAACTAGCTATCTTTAGATTTCATTTGTTTGTGGGAGCTGGGGAGGGGAGTGTCTCAAATAGTCATCATATTTCTCAAGAATA